TATATATATATATATATATATATATGTTTTAGGAATATTTCTATATTATTGTAGATAAGTTTGAAATATGGTTTAATTGGGAGCTGATCAGGCAAACAGCTGATGAGATGAAGTCTATAAAATGATAAACCATCTCACTCTCCTAATTGATAGGTTTGAGGTTCTCAACCTCCGTTTTCTACAAATAATTCTTCAGCATTCATTGACACATGGTGACAATCATAGACACTTTGTCACTATCCATTCACATAAAATCTCTCAAGAGATCGTAAAACGTATGTCTCCCATGACGACTCTAATTGAATAATACTCCAGCTTCGATTATTTTTCCATCATTCTCATCCTAAGCTTTGGTTAGATTTGAAATGATCGATTGATTTCGACTGTCAACTCGAGATGACAAAATTAATACGATTTGATTTGATTTGATCCGTTTCTTGATTGTTGCTGCATCCTACAACCACTCCGGTTCAATTATTTTCTATCATTTCATGCTAAACTTTGGTTAGATTTGATATGATCAATCTTTAATTGTCAACCGAGGTGACAAAATTGATCCGACCGGATTCATTTTTCCATTGCCTTTGCAATTGGAAGAGAAAAAGAAGTTTGACTGGTGCCGATATTTATAATCTCGCTTCATTCTATTCCTATAAAAAGGACTATGCTAGAAGTGCGTTGCAAGAGACTTCTCTGATGGTTCGATCGATTCCAAATTCTTGCTCGTAAGAATTTTTGATAAGTTCATAACGAAAACATATCTAGAAAGACTGATGCAAATAATGTTAATCTTCTAACCATTAAATGACTTAATGAGATGTTACTAAGCTTCACTGTTCTTTTAGTAATAACATATTGGAGTTATGACTATGTTCATAATTTGGTGAACGACGAAGAATCATTATCTTCTGGCTGTGATAATTTAGGAAGATTGTGATACCATCATCTGATTAAACAATCATACTTTTGTGTCGCTTAGAAATTTCGGTCTCAGATATTGAGACTTGGCAACATTTTGCGCCACTTGCACGTCTTTCTTTCTACACCCATCTCTTTCGGCAATACTCTTCCCACCATCACCACTCGAAGATTGAAACTTTGTGTTCCAAAGTAGATGACCAACGAAATATGCGGTCTTCTCATGTTTCCACCACAATTCGCCATGTTTGGTCTCTCTGTCATACATACAACATAGCCTTTTAACGATCTTTAATTGCATACATTTGGATAATACTTCAATGAATATAAGCATGTTAATTTGATTTACTGCTAAACAACCCAAATCAATAATATAATTGTATATGTATACAAAATAAAACATTGAATATGCATTTAATCCGTCATTAATTATCCACCGGCCCAATCCCGCGTCTTAAATGGAAAAAGACCACTGCTGTGGGTCAATACAACGACCGTCTCTTCTTCAAATGCCTTCCGTGTACCATTCGGTGTAGCAAACATACAATAGCGCGATTTCGTTGGTCTCCTTCTATGGGCTCCACCAGACAGTCGGGAATTGTCAGCCGCCATTTTCCTGAGTTTGTGGTCGCCACAGGCAGCTGATCCTTCCACCAGTCCAATATTTCCTGGGCGGCTCACACACGGAACTACAACGGCGTCGTTGGATCGCTCCGTAACGACCAAGTCCCCGGAATCCGACGGTGGTGCGAGCCCACATCACACGGATTCGTCGCCTGTGACCGGCACGTTGGCGCCGTGTCACCTCCGCCAAACTCCAGTCAACCGACGGACCTCTCTCCTATCGTTCAGCTTATGGACTCCAATTCTTCTCCCTTTCTTCCTTTATTTCTCTCCCCTGTTGCGGCTCCGATCGCCATGAGAAGCGAAGGAGACAGCTTGAGCGGCCAAAATATGGGATTGTGCCACAGAAAGGTGCGATCTTTGCCTTCCCCTGTTCTACTCTTCCTCTCGCCCCTGCTGCTCCTCCTTGTCGGCTCCCTCTGGCTCGCCGGCGCGGCGGACATCCCCCTCGGATCCTCCCTCTCCCCCTTGAACTCGTCCTCCTGGTCGTCCCCCAGCGGGACGTACTCCCTCGGCTTCATCTCCGACCCACAGAACACCTCCCGGTACCTCGCTGCCATAACCTACTCCGGTGGCATCCCCGTGTGGACCGCCGGCGGCGGAGCTTCGGTCGATTCCGCCGCCTCCCTCCAGCTCCGCTCTGATGGCAACCTCCGCCTAGTCGACGGCTCCGGCACGGTCGTCTGGGAGTCCGGCACCGCGGGCAAGGGTGTGTCCGCCGCCTCCCTCCTTGATTCGGGCGACTTCGAGCTCAAGAACTCCACCGCCGTCGTCTGGGACACCTTCGTTAACCCCACCGACACCATCCTCCAGTCCCAAAACTTCACCGTGGGCCAGACCTTGCGCTCCGGGGAGTACTCCTTCTCTCTTCTCGCGAACGGCAACCTCACCCTTACATGGAACGGCAGCACCATTTACTTCAACAAGGGCTTCAACTCCACCTTCACCGCCAACAAAACCCTGGCTTCCCCTTTTCTGACCCTCCAATCCAATGGGATCGTCTCGCTCTCCGATGCCTCCCTTTCCTCCGCGGTGGTCATATCCTACAGCAGTGATTATGGCGAGAGCGGCGACATGATCCGGTTTGTGAAGCTGGATTCCGACGGAAATCTGAGAACTTACAGTGCCGTCCGAGGGAGCGGCGCCGCCATCCAGCGGTGGTCGGCGGTCGCGGACCAGTGCGAGGTCTTCGGGTGGTGCGGCAACATGGGGATCTGCAGCTACAACGACACGTCCCCCGTCTGCGGGTGTCCCTCCGAGAACTTCAATTTCGTTGACCCCAACGATCACCGGAAAGGGTGCAAGAGGAGGACGGAGATCCAGGATTGCCCTGGGAACTCCACCATGCTGCAGCTGAGTCACACCCAGTTCCTGACGTACCCGCCGGAGATCTCCACCGAGCAGTTCTTCGTCGGCATCACAGCCTGCAGGTTGAACTGTCTCTCAGGTGCCTCCTGTGTCGCTTCGACTGCGCTCGCTGATGGCTCAGGATTCTGCTATCTGAAGGTGTCCAACTTCGTCAGTGGGTATCAGTCGGCAGCACTGCCGAGCACTTCCTTCGTCAAGGTGTGCGCTCCAGCCCTCCCCAACTCACCATCAACACTGGACGAGGTCCACTCGGAGTCCTCGAAATTGAAGGGCTGGGTGGTTGCTGTTTTGATCTTTGGCACGTTCTTGGGGTTGATACTCTTCGAGTGGGGGTTATGGTGGTGTTTCTGCCGGAACAGCACAAAGTATGGGCCATCGTCGGCTCATTATGCACTTCTCGAGTATGCCTCTGGTGCCCCTGTGCAGTTCTCGTACCGGGAGTTGCAGAAGTCGACCAAGCGATTCAAAGAGAAACTTGGGGAAGGAGGTTTTGGTGCTGTCTACAAAGGTGTTCTTGCAAACCGTACGATGGTTGCGGTGAAGCAGCTCGAGGGGATCGAGCAAGGGGAGAAGCAATTCAGAATGGAGGTGGCGACGATAAGCAGCACCCACCACTTGAACCTGGTCAGGTTGATTGGATTTTGTTCGGAAGGACGACACAGGCTTCTAGTCTATGAGTTCATGAAGAATGGTTCTCTGGATAGCTTCCTCTTCTCGGGGGACTCCTCAAGGAAACTAACTTGGGCAACACGGTTCAGTGTGGCGATTGGGACTGCTAGAGGGATCACTTACTTGCATGAAGAATGCCGGGATTGCATAGTCCATTGCGATATAAAGCCAGAAAACATTCTCCTTGACGAGAACAACAATGCAAAGGTTTCGGATTTTGGTCTTGCGAAACTTGTCAACCCGAAAGATCATAGGCAAAGGACTTTGACAAGCGTTAGGGGAACCAGGGGATACTTAGCTCCCGAATGGCTTGCTAATCTCCCAATCACTTCGAAGTCAGATGTTTACAGCTACGGGATGGTGTTGCTTGAGATTGTGAGTGGGCGGCGCAATTTTGATGTATCAGATGATACTGGTCGAAAAAAGTTCTCGGTGTGGGCCTACGAAGAGTTTGAGAAGGGGAACATCAGAAGCATCATGGACAAGAGGCTTGCTGAGCAGGATGTGGATATGGAGCAGTTGGAGAGGGCAGTGCTGGTGAGCTTTTGGTGCATCCAAGAACAGCCCTCTCAAAGGCCATCGATGGGGAAGGTCGTGCAGATGTTGGAAGGGGTATTGGATATAGAGAGGCCTCCGGCACCAAAGGTCATGGATGTTGGCTTGGCAGTTGTCACCACCAGTAGCGTGAGCACCAGCGTTGCCGTTTTCGCGACCTCAGCTTCAATTCAGCCTCTATCGAGCTCATCACAGTCGATCACGAACTCATCATCAGTTTCCCGGAGGAACGTACAGAAACAAACATCATCCCTCCTCTCCACAGATCTTTCTTCCTAGTAGAAAAGATATGGAGTCCCAAAGTTTTCTCGTGTATAACTATTACATGGAATGTGCCTAAATCTGCGTCTTTCACAGGACATGACTTGAAAGTCCAATGGATCAGCTTATGTAAGTTATTATAGTTTTTCTCATGTAACATTCTACAAGTTCGTCCAAACTGAGATTGTTGAAGCTTATCGCCATGTGTATAGGAATAACAAGATGAAGGTTAGTTATTGGCTTCTTTGTTCTATTAATTTGGTGACAGTGTTTCTTGTGCAGGGGA